ATAATTTGTGCAAAAGGCTGTATATTTTCATAGATAATTATATGATAATATGATTGTACTTATTGACTGAGTGGGAGGCCCTACGGGGAAATATTTGGCTCGAGGTTATGCCGTACGCTAGACCGGGAGCCAAATATTTTTCCGTACGGCCCGACCTAACTCAGTCGATAAGAATTTATCATATGACAGCGTTTTTAATGTAAAAATAAAAAAATAAACGGCCCAGTCGCGAAAAGGCGTACGGCCCCCATCACGTGATCATTTCCCGAAGTTTTTTTAAGAGCGCACATAGGGCCGAAATGCGGGTTATATCAATATATGGTAAATGTAAATATCAATTCTTTCAAGTATTTTCATGACATCCAACGGTGAGGCATCCAATGAAAAACTCGCATTATTATCGTTCAAAGATCACCTTTAACAGGATGAACTTATTTCACATATCATTGTTGTTGGCATGGTCTTGCCTAGGTTGTCCACACTGTGTTCACACAGATCGTTGCTTTTCTCATATTTTTGCAGTATTTCCAAAACAGCATCATCTTTTTCTTGTTATCGAAATATCATAGCGAAAATTTAATTAGACTGTTTTCCTTTTTTTAACCTAAAATTGAGCTTCAAACTTCTTGAAAACTTCTCTCCTGCGGATATTTTTCTTTCAGCATTCATATTAGCAATATCGAAGATAAATGTTGGAAGAAAAAATTCCAAAGTTTCAATTGCAATAAATATTTGGCGCTTTCTCAGTTTCTTTTTGAAAAGATTATGGGTTTTAAGTGGTGGTACTCGGACGGACGGACGGAAGGAAACGTAAGGGCGCGCATGATCCTTGTCTTGTTCCAAGAATGCACTCAATAGTCAAACTTATTTCAAGGGCCTTTTTTCGACAAGCGTAAAGGTCCAGACATCAGCCGGTCAAATATGGATTCTATTTGGCTAACATTCTTTTTTTTAAGTTGTTTGCTCATTCTTGTAGTTATTTTTTTTTTTGTCTCGCAAAAATTGAAGAACAATTTTCAATGTAAAGGTGCCGAAAATAATACGAGAATTCGCCGGCAACAAGCCGCTGAAATACAAAAACAAAAAAAAAAATAATAATAATAATAATAAAAAAAATAAACAAACAAAAAAAAAACAAAAAAAAACAACAACAACAACAACAACAAACAAACAAACTTGTGTCACCAAGTTGGAGTTTATTATTTTTCTTAGTTTTTAAGGTTTGTAATCAAAAAAATATGCGTTTTTTGCATCTGTTATAATATTTCTTTGATTGTAAACCTTAAAAACTAAGAAAAATAATAAACTCAAATAACACACAACAAAGAAAACACTAAAGGCCTTCACGACGATAAGTAGGGTAGGATTTCAAGTTTGATGACGTAAACAGTCAAGAAGAAATTTCAGTATGGCGCATTTGTTTTATTTGACAGCAGAATCTTTTTCGCAAAGAACACATACACACACAAAAAAAACAGTACGAGAGAATAATGGTAATGGTAAATATAGATTCTATTTTGTCAGTAATCATTCCCTCAAAATGTTTATTACTTTTTCTTCTTTTTCTTCTTAGTCTAAAACCGCAAGTAACTGAAAATAWCTGCTGTTATAGCTGGTTGACATGATAATCGTAAACCTAAATGGCCAAATAAATATACAGTTGCAGAAAAAGTTTTTGACTTTTATAACTTATTAGACTGAACTCTAAATACTAAATCGGCCCAAATTTAAGAGAGCAATTTACCGAAACYACYGTCATTCAGATAGTTTCCCTATCAATTTGAAGTTTCTAGACTCAGCTGCAATGGGAAACTATATTGATACGTCGATCCTCGGGAACAATTCTCTGCCACAACTGGGATCTAAAACTAATAAAACTAAGCTCCTTAGTTTTGACTAAGAGTCTCCACTAAATAATGTAAATGCAGCAAAAAACACTTGCAGAGAAAGCTATTCAGAAAGACCAACGAGGTATGTCAGTTTATACAAGGATAGCCTCACTGGCAATGCTTGCCTTTCGCTTCCTGGCAGGTGCCTCATCATCTTGTGTTGGTTCTTGACTATCAGATATTTCAAATTCATGATACTGAAATAATAAACAATAAAAAAGTTTTGGGATTCACATTTCTTCACCATTGACGTGCATATGTATATACATTAAAAAATAATTAAAAAAAAATAAATAAATAAAATAAGCTGACTGAAAATGTGTCTCGCTGCATGCAGGTTTCGTATTGTCTTCGTTTTCTTTAAATATTGTCTCTTTACGTATCGTAAGAGATCCTGATTTTTTTAATCTATTAGTTATGGGGTAACTGCGGATGTGAATAAAATCAATAGATTACAATTAAGGCAAAGAGGATATCAAGTAAGAAAAGGATATTAACAAAGAAATAAATACACCAAAAGCAAACACGTCACTCAGATATCAAATATGAAAGAATAWAATTATGCATGTTTAAAGCCTGGGGGGTTTTCTATGCACTTACCCCGTCGACCTTTGAAATAACTCTCTTTCCTTTTCCTTTGCTTTGTTTGCTTGGTTGATCTATACCCTACCCCGTCATAAATGAAAGAAATTCATTTATCATATAATTATCTACGAAATACCTATTTCTCGCTACGCTCACTCGTTAGAGATCTTTTCAACACTCAAATAAAATTCGTATCTCCACGCACCCATGTAATATCCTCTGTTTATCAATATAGAGTCAATTTCGTATGAATGGGGAACGTACGGTAGAAATTACAGGATCCGTGCAGAGTATCAAAAACGAAATTTTAGGACTTTTCAAGGATCGAAATTGTATATCCAAGGAACATCATAATCATGCTAATTGTACATTCTTACCTCACAACTTCAACCTAACCGAATAATTCAGAGATCGCTAGCGCTTCGTGAGATAGATCTATCTTTTTCAAGGAATTTTCAATGACTTTTTGGAAATGTTCAAATTTTTCAAGAAGTTTCAAGTGCCCTTGAAAACGAGTTTTCAATTCAAGCACTTTTCAAGGATTTAAGGACCTGCACGGACCCTGAAATTACCGCACGGCTACCGCACAGTTACCGTACCTGGCCTGCATAATTTTTGTGAAGCAATGAGACACTAGAATTTGGTTACAGTACAATTACGGTTACAGTACAGTACCGTTCGTTTCCCACGCATACGAAATTGACTCTACCTGGGACACAGGACCGGCTTTTCTGGAACAACAACTGACACTCATGAAAGAGAAACTGTGTTGAAATGATTTGCATAATTATCTATAATAACTTATAATATCAAATGCTACAGAGGGTAAAGGGGAGTAATTATCACTGAGAAATGTATGCTAAGRTGGCGAATAGCCTTCAAAATGTAGGTAGAGTATATAATAAGTATGACTATCCCTTCCTCGACCTTGTGCAAGCCCTCATTTAAGAGCATCCTAACACTGAGACAAAACTCCTTTTCAAGTCTCATTTCCTAACGATTTGTGTACATATACAGCTATATTTGAAAACGATATATGCTGATACGTAATTCGAAATCATATTTTAGTCATTATGTCGACATTTTAAAGGAGCTTTCTAAAGCTTCCGAATAATTCAGTTTAGGTAATTTGATTATTTTGATCATTATTTAATACAGATAACACGAAGTTTAATAGTAACAATGCAATGCGGCAAACAATATTAAGTATTAAACGTTCTCTGAAATAACTCTACAATTCGTTCCACCCAATTCAAAATATTTGAGAAAAGAACTTTTAATGCTATGAATTTAGCTTTGAAGTGCCAAAATATAATGAACAGTAAATATTACTCGCAGCTTTTGTTTAATCTCGAAGCCATAAGTCTCCTTCGCTCTTTACTCCGACGAAGGATTAACATCCGAAACGTCAGTATGTTATTTCCCATACTTTTTTACGGTGTTAAACTTATCTTCTTTACACAACTGTTCCTTCGCAGCCCTTTTTCGAGCTTCCTGTCGCAATTAGCTCTACGATGTTTGATTGTTTGCTTGCTGTTGTAGTTTTTTTTACATGTAAACTATTGATTAAGTGGTGTTGTACGAGAGTGCGTGTATTAATGGGATATATAGATTTGAGCTGCAGGCGATATAGAACTGAATTATAAAACATCAGTCCTTAATTGGGATTCAAAGGCCCATCATGTGACCCAATAGTTCGATGCTCATTGGACTAATAGCTCATGAATAATTAATTAGTTCTAGAAGTAATGAGAAAGAGTAATCACCGGCACTGGCCTCGATCTTGATATTTCTTAACTAAGTGTTTCTTAATGACTTTTTTACTCGATGCCTTACCTTTGTTTTTCGTGTTCTTAGTCTACCTGACACGTCCATGTTAGATGCCTTTTCTGTAAGGCTATCCACGCTAGGGACCTGCAAAAAGTGTACATTGCAACGTAAATGAGCAAAATCCATCTACAAATATACAAGTTAAAGCATGGCTWTCACTACGACTTAAACSTAAGTYCAATGCTAAGCGCAAGTGCGCAAYGCTCATAAAMATCGTTAAAACCGACTCAACGCAAGTTCAAACTTAAACGCAAATCGAAGCACGAGGATCCAAATGTTTCCTTCTCTTGCGCTTAAGATTGGGGCTACTTTTGTTTTAATTCGGTGATACGTCAGTGAAAACAAAACACAAACTCAGAACTGGCCTCTCGACCAATGGAAATACTAGTGTCGGTCTTGCCATGTCATTTTCACATTTCCAAGATGGCGGAGTTTCTTGCAGTGYGTTCTTGCGCTTGAGTTTCGTTTTCACACGAAATTTGTTTTTATGATTTGGTTTAGGCTTGCGCTTATTAGCAATGGACCTCGGTTGGCGTCGTAGTGAAAACAAGACTTAAATGACTCAACCAACGATAAAGGAAAGACATTGCGTATATTATGTTAAGAAAGTTTCCATACACTTTTCTTGTCGACTGAAGCTAACATTTGAYATGTTTTGTTCCTTTCTTCTATTTCATTATTTATGTAGGTCTTTAGATCTTGCGCTTTAAGCTTTGCTTTGTTGATAACTTTCCCAAGTCTGCAAAATAACGTACGTTCAAAATTTAGCTCTTCAGAATAATGAAATAACCAAAAATAAAACTCTTTGAACAGATTGATATTGCTGGGAAATGTGAAGTATGCGGATTTGATACCTTTTCCCTTTAAGCGGTGGGCGAATGAAGCCTTCTTTTTCAAGTCTGTTCATTAATCCTTGTGCAACAGTCATTTCAATTCCTTTTGAAATCAATATYAATGAAAAGAAATAGAGAGTAAAGACATCACATCAATTCTATTAGTGTTTTAATACTAAAGATGACTGATCRTCAATCTTTGATACATAACGTATAGTCAAAGTACGATACAAGAAGGGAACGCCGCGYGCAATTTGTTTTCGTGGATTCCCAGTAAAAGGCATATCGCTAAGCATGCGAAGTGACCAAAGTTGATCTGGGGTTGCGGTATCGATTAATTGGCTAGTTGCGCTTTGCCTTGTGCTGCTCAGTCTTGTCAACCTGGCTTACCGAGTCGTCTTGATAGCATTGTGGGTAATATCCTGCTCATTTCTGTGCATGCAGATATCGCTCTTCGCCAAAGACACGTCGACTAAAAAAAAAATCAAAAATAAATAAAGTGACGATGGATGCAATAGTACGTATCTGTTGCCTTTTTGATACACACCACTATCTATCAATGATTGATTGTGCGGCATACCTGAAGTACCACAGAATTTATATTCCTCAGCGAAGGATCGGTGCATTTGGTAACTCCATCTTTCTATTAATGGGAAAATGGAATCCACGTTGATGAAATAAAAATTGCATACGCGGTAATCATTTCGTACAAGGATTGCATTTCTTGAGCAAGGAACAACGTTTACCTTTGAGCAGGAAGCACAGATATGGAGTTCAGGAGCCTCGTTCTCATCCAGTATGCCGTAACACACGGCATGTTGCCATGTGTTACACATGCCGCACATAATCATGAGACCATCGTCCTATATCAAGACAACAATATACGTAACTGTGATTTCTTACTCGTTTTCAGTTCGAAGTGGATAATATGCAATCAACAACAWATTCGAATTTCCCTGCGCAAATGTCTTACCAGGGACAAAGCATGACAAAACATTAAAGTGCATGTCTTGACAAYAGCCAAATGACTAACGCTGTGTTCAAACCTTATGTCAATTTAGAAGATAATTAGTATAGTGCGCATTTATCTGCCTTGAAAAAGGAAACGGAGTATTCGTTGAGAATTATGCTGTGGGGGATGTCGATAAAAATGAACGTCCGCATAATGCTTAATTAGTACATTTCTAAATGCATTGTCTCAAATTAATGAATTAATGGTAACCTCATTGTAGGTACATGAGCAGTCGACATTTGGCTCATTKTCCATTCCAGATTGTTTCCCATGCTTTTTTTCTGTGCGTTTGGCCAATGTTATGTCCTCTGGAAATCCATCTGCGGTCTCACTCAAATCTTAAAAAAAAAATCACAAACACACAAAAACGCATATACTAATGCATATACGACTGAGAGGGGGAGAATGTAGGATTTTTGGCCTTAGTTGGCCTTCCTATATACATGCATATTACCATTGTAACACATTGTATTTTATGGAGCTCATCAAATAACGTTCATATTTCTGTATTTGTGATTGTGTATGCTTTCCTTTCGCTAGAACACAGGAATCCCTGAAGTACACATTCGCCGAAACACGATAAGAACGTATTCTGGTATTCGCATAGGTTACTTACCGGGCACGTGTGCGGTTTCTAGTGGGATATCATCGCATTCCATTGAGGGTTCTGCTGTACCTATTTAGCATATAGCACTATATGTTAGGTAAATTGCAGTCTCATCCTGTCTACACGACAATGGCAGTGATTAGATGTTCAGTTTCATATATACCTGGAACTGCCTGATCAGAGGTGCTTGATGAGGGCTTCTTGCGTTTATTGTTTCTTAAAGTCASAKGTGTTGTTATCAAATCGTTCTTGATGTTTTCATCTAGTGCCTGGAAAAATCAATRT